GAGGGCATGCATATGGCAGGCAGTGGGCAAGTGGTAGGGGACAGGCAGTGTGGAGGTGGGGGGCAGATAGGTACCTTGCCCCTTGCAGCCTGTCCTCCCACTTATTCCTGGTCTCCTTGCAGACTGTACCCACCTCCTTCCCCCCCACCACTGCCTTGGGTCCCTGCCCCCTTCCCCCATCTCTCCTCCCCACAGTCTCTGCTCCCCTGTGCCCCTCTCCACAATCATTTATCTTTATTCCAGCACTGGCAGGCTCTATCCTCACTCCAGCCTGGGGCATGGAACACGGCTCCAGCCCAGCACTGCTGGCTGCAGTGGGGAAGAGATAGGAGGATGCACAGCCAGAGTAAAAGGGCAGGCAGCAGCTAAATGAGGGGGAAGTTCATCTTGGAATTGAGTAAATACGACAATCAGTATCCCCATACAGAAAGAGTAGTATCTTTCAATATGAATTACACAAAGCTAGGCAGAAGTGCAATGCTGTCATCAAAAAAGTACAACAGAAAGGTGTTACAGTTCATTTACTCTTAGAGATCTAGTTGACTGTAACAGGCTATCAACTTGCATTTCTCCCTGTAACATTTAAAAAGGACCAAAGCCTGAAGAATGCCCAGTCCCTTATTCATGTTAACAACAGTGTTAAAAGCAAATCAAGGGTCAGCACTAACAAATATCTGCAAAACAGATCAAATTATCTTTGTTCTCAGAGAAGATAATGTGCGGCCACAGATGGATTCAATATTTAGTTTATTACTGAGTGCCAGGCTGCTCTGACTACCCTTTCATTTATTAGTTAGAACACACTTTTTTATGTTGTTTGTATCACTGATGAATCCATTGCTGTTGTTCACCCAAGATACAGGCTTTGGAAAAATATTAGATTTGTTTGTAGGATAAGTCTGATTGCTTCCAAGTGTCTATTATATGTTAATTATCTATCACTGGATAAGAAAATTAGCATAGATGGCCTGTTAAGTTTATTTATGAAAATACTGTTAATGCTTTACAGTTTACTCATAGCCTCAGACCCTTACTGTCCCTTAATATCTATTAGTTCAAAACTACAGTAGCATTCTTATTCTTATGACCAGTGCTTAAATTAAAACAAAAGTATACTGCTAAATCACAGGCAATGCTGTTCAATTGGTGACCTTATTGTAATATGGGAACAGGAATATGAGATTTTGTACCATTCCATATGTCCTCATTGGAGCAGCTAGTTAGAAAAGGAGAGGAAGGTAAAAATACAGTACAGGCAGTGAATTGTCCCACATCCACTGTGATTTTAGATATGATCATTTATTTTCTGCTCATATAAGTTCATGTTACAGGTCAACATTTATGAAGACAGAAAAATAAGCACAGAATAGAAGGGTTCCACATGTATTGTTGCACTGATTTGTGCATCAAAATGTCCTTGGTTTACAATTGTAAAGATGATGTTATCCCCAAACTCGCCTTAAAAACTTAACTTGGCTCAGAAGGTTTGTTAAGTTATGTCCATATGGACTTAGCCATCTGTCATAGAAGTTGCGTGTGTCAAATTAAGCTCTTGGTGACACCTATTTGGCTCTACTGCTCGTGGTTCAGAGGCAAGGATTTAACTAATTGGCAACTAGAATACAGGTGACTCCATTATACATGCACTGCCCTCTGTAACACCAAGAACAGTAAAAAGAAGTATGAGCTTACTTTAGACATTACAAATGAGCAGGTATGACCCTGAGTACGGTAAAAAAGATGTAAGATCATATCTTTTTTACATTAATCACTTTTTTGAGCAGAAATTTGTTTTAGCCTGCATGCTCTTTTTTCATAGTTTCATAGTTTGTAGGGTTGAAAGGGACAGATCATCAAGTCCAACCCCCTGCCTTGGCAGGAAAA